AACAGCGAGAATAGTTGTCCACTTCAGTTTGTCTAGGTCGGCTTCAAGCTTGGTCTGATTACTGAAAGTAATCTTGAATGCATTTTGTCTTGAGCTAATTCGCACGCATGGGTGCGGCACAGAATCACAGAAGAGTCGATCACAAGCTACCTCGGCAAGTCCACAAACTACAAAATTGAATCCCTCTCACTACATAACACCTCATCCTAGGATAGCGTACCCTCTATAAAGATCTGTGAATACCAATGCACCGGGAGTTCACTTCCTCACTACAGTCTACTGCTGCAAGCAGCCCAGCGATCATTGTGCCAAAAGCATTACTTACTTTACTTCCGTAAGCTCATGGCATGATAAGAACACACAAATGTGGCCCCTGCGATCGACGACCTTCAATCTTATCGGTGAGGTAATCGACATGGTCTTCGATGAGAGCAGCTACAGTGATTCTTCGAGGCCCGCATCAGCGAACTTAACGGGCAGTAAAGCGACAATACCGCTCACGATAGAAGATGTGGCTCCTACGCTCTAGCTTACATCAGTACACTTGTGTGTTGCAAGCACGTTTTCCTACGACGACACCTCCGCCGCAGAACCAACGACAACGCAACCCTCGTTAATATCGCGCAATACCTGCTAAAGCAAGCCAAGCTTGCGGCACGAGGGTCATCAAGACTTTTGCTGACTCAATTACGTTATCAAAAGCTGCCGACCGCGCCGCGACGGAGCCCTTACACATCTTTTGAGATAGGCGTTTCACTTAATCCGTCGGAAAATTGAGCACTCAAAAGTAGCTTCTGAGCCGCTTTTTGCCGCATAAATCACCGCTCATTTGGAATACTGTCTTTCTCTAATGCAGCACATAGTCCAAACTCACCATGACGATTGAAGCCTTGTTTTTCGACGTTGGCGAAAGTAAGTGTGTAAGGCTATGAATCGATTCACCCAAAAGGTTGAGATCGGACGAAGTCATATTTTTTAAACAGCTTTACATTTCAATTTTAGCAGAGATTGGAAGGCCACATAATACTTGATTTTTAAAGTATCAGACACATCAAGGACGCTGGGGCGCGTTCTTTCGGCTTCAAAATCTTGTAGACGATAGCGCTGCTCAAACATTATCACTGTGCTCTGGTTTGTGTGGCATGACCGGCTAGTCCCAAGTCATCTGGCCCTACGCTATCACCGTAAAAAGGAAATCATCGCAGTCACTTGTAAGCAGTTGCTAGTACCAATCAATCGTGAAAAAGGACGGGCGCAAAAAATGAAATTGCGTTTGTGCCGAACTAGTAACTGCAGTTATCGAATTATAAAGACGCATGATTTGCCACACACCGTCAGCCTTTCTGGCACTGAAGGTGGATGCCGAATGAGTAAATAACCATTCTTATCCAATCCGTCCGTGTTTCGCACGGAAAAAGGCGTATTTGATGTCACTCTATAGCTTTGATTAGTGCCATAGACGTGAGCTCAGTATTTTTTCAGAAACCAGATCAATTTGAAGACGCACGTTCCGGTCTAAGAATAACACAAATGGTGTTTTTTGTCACCACGTCATGATATATTCATAATGTTCGTGAGAATAAGTATCCACGCTTCGTTCTCAGTGTCCGCAATGCCGAATTGTCTGTGATGAATGATGAGCTGAGCGCCTCCAAAGGTACCAACTATATCTAATTGATAGTTTCACCGACTTATAAGGTTTTGCAAACACTCCCTATGAATTCTTCATTACCTTTTGCCTGGGGTAATAATGACGAACCGACATTCCCTACGACTATTACGGTCACTTTTTTTACGAGAAATTATACTTTTACGCCAAAACATCCGCTTGGAGGGCGCTGACTCAGCAATACCGTAGCATCGTGGTAAACAAACAAATTCCTTCTTGCGGCTTATAGTCGTCTGCCCTTGAATGGTTTAACCTGCTTTGACTCATCTCTACTGGCTCGCGCATGAGAACCGCAACACACAGTCGCTATGATAAGCTCACTCAGAACTACCTTTTGAAGCTCGCAGCTTAGTGCTGTGATCAATAATTCCAATCTGGAGTCTGCTATATACTGTGCATCAAAAGATGCTCACTCTGAATACCTGGAAATAGCATCACTACTTCTCGTCTCAACCTAAAACCGCAACTCACTACCGCTTCTATCTTCCAAACGTAACTTAAGGCAATTCTAAATATCTTTATTAGCCACTTTGAACAATTTCATGTCCTGCACCACTGCTATCGCAGCTTTATGCCCGCAACTTTTACCCAGAGTGAAGAGGCACACAAGGCGGACTTATTTGGTACTGCCGCAAAAGTAACAGCTGCAAGTATTGTGAAGCTGCTCAGAAGCCAAGATATATATTTCTTACTTGTCTGCATGACGAGGGTTCAATATCTCAGACACGTTTGTAGAGTCTCCATCTCCAGTATTTCAACTACATTCTCCTCCCCCGCGACACGAAAGTTTATTCCGCAAATAGTGCAACATCCGCCGCATTTTCAAAAGAGACGTTTGACGTTGGCGCGAAATGTCTCGGTGCGAGCTGTATATGCCTGATTAGGCCGCAAAAAATGCCGCGACATATCTAGCTTGAGATCTTCAAATAATGGTAGTAACTATTCCACATTAGAAGTACATGCGAGTATTTATTCTCGTGCAAGGCCTTATAGCCAGGAGTCGCAAGCATGACGCGCTGTTGCTCCATTCAAAGCATGGCCGAATTCATGAGCATTTCACCTTCATTTGTCAATTGAAAGAGATTCTCGTTCTTTTTCTAAAAAAGCTAGACGCTTACATCAGCACCCTAACTGTCGGAGCCATCTATGATCTCACCGATGCCCGGTTGAGGCGCTCCTGTAGGTGTCTCACAAGCAGATTGTTGTAGCCGGTTGTATGCCTCCATGCAAAAGACATTTGTTTCCAATATCTGGACTGCCAGTTCGCTGACCCCTTGGGGACCAACTAAAACAAAAGCTTTTAGGGTGCGTCCAGTTGTCCTATGTACTGGTGTTCAAACAACTCGCTCTTCTGCCTCATATAGAACACAATGTTTTTTTATGATACTTTCGGGAAGATTGACTGCAAATGCTTCCAAGTGCAGCGGGTTTGCCGATTGTCTTACCCAGCCTCTTCTCTTTGTTCTCGTCTCTTCCCTTC